ATAAAGTGCTGTCAAGGATGACATGCCTGAACTGTCACTGTGGGAGGACCCACTTCCTGTCTGCCCTTTGAACTCCTAACCCCCATAGCAACCTCATTTATCCCTCAGCCAATGACAATGCAGCGGGGCTGCTGCTGTGTATTTTCACAGCAAAAAAATATTGATAACAGAAACCTGGCTAGAGTGTGACAGGCACAGTTTATTGATTGTGGCACTGCGTCAAGAAGCAGCCACAGACACAAACACCATGGAAAGGAATGGTGAAAGGTCTCAGTGTGTCCATATATTTGCAGAGCATTCATAAAAATGGCTTGTATGCACTTCAGTGTGTGAGTCCTGTGTGCAAAGGGCAGTGAGGCGTGGATCTGGGTTGCGTGTGCGGTGTGTCGTCAGCAGAGCCCTAGATCATGCAGTTAAATGGGAAGTGCTAGTGCATAACCACAAAACCTCAAGGCAGTAAACAGATCCACTGTCTACGTTGTGGTCTCTGCCACCTTAACTGAACCCTTTGAATACGCTCCATCGCATACACATTCACCTTATCCATAGCAGCCTTTTGCACACTTTTCAATAAGCTCAGAGGTTAATAGTGTACTGTGCTGTGACTCTGGGATAAAAGGTGGGGTACAGAAACTAATAAAAAAGTTTTATGGTTCAGGTTACCTGCTCTGTTGCAAACAGATGGGTTGCGGAGTCAAAAAAAAATCTTGGTGCAATTTTTCAACCAGGCCGCCGCTGCAATATAGTGCTACCGGCCTATCTGTGTCTGCAAATCTTATAGACCCTTTAGTAGGATTTTCAGTAAATACATCTGAGTCAAATTGACTGTGATACAGACGATCTTTGCTATGTTCTATAGTAAATGTATGCTGCTTCATATCAGCAGATTTCAATATCACTCGCTGCTGCTTTTGAAGCGTGTCTTACCTGTCCACAGGAGACGAATTCTGATTTTAGTAAATGTGATTCCAAACACACAAACTGTCCCAGATAAAAGCACAAACTAGGTCAATAGAGCTGCACTTTGTAACCGGGAGTGACATCATTTTTTTCTCCATTCTTCTGCTTTAATTAGAAATCATATTCACAGCTAATTTGACATGCGTAAATTAGCATCTACTACACAATGAAGTGCAAATGGATGGCCTACAATAATGCAGAAAATAGTTCAGAGAAACAAAAAGCCGATCATTTGTAGTCTTGGTTGACACTTAGATGGTCATTAGATGTTCTTCCGCTTAGTGTTCTGATGTCTAACATGTCAGCTCAGAATGTCGATGTTCAAAGAGTCAGTGGAGTGAAGGACGTTGGCGAACTCTTTTTGAGAAG